AGCGCTGACTCTTTCGACCAATATAACCTGCTCCACAGGAGCAAGTGAATGAGTATATGCACATATAATGTAAAGGCCCGAAGAGAATATATAGAAAGCTACGTACGCTCGCCAAATACTCTTGTGAATATTTGGGTGAGTCTGAAACTATGGTTCAAACAGACAGCTGCATAAGATAGGATGTTTAGAAGTTCTTTATTTAGGTAACTGCTTTAAGATCTATCGTATTTTGAAGGTTTTTGTAAGCACGTAGAGTATAATAATTATTTATGGTCAATCGACTGAAGCCTGTGAAAATCGTAAACTGCTAATTACCATTTAAAGGAAGACTTAAACCTCTTCGTAAACAAAATCCAATGATAATTACAAAGGAATGTGGCGGAAGGAAATTCCCCTTAGTGTACAGAAAACTATACGTTTAAAATTGCACTTGACAATTCCATTTAAATTTATAAGTCACTGACGGGCATTTTCGCACGTGAGCTTACGAAATATCTTTACTCTGTGACCTCCTAATAGGCAACATGAAGCGAAAGTGTGGTTGCCTTAGTCTAACTTAACTCAAGCAATGCATAAGCAGAAGAAACAACTAGCAGTTCTTGTGAAAACGTGTTTGAATACATACTCGTAATTTAGGCTGTTCGATAACAGCCATACATTACATTGCACGTAGTATGGAAGCATACGTATCCGATAATTTTACATAAGGATTAATTCCCAACGTAATTTTACTTATGCTGCTCTATTCAATCGGTGTTTTTTGCATGAAGTGGGTCTCTCTAAATGTAAAACTTAATTTTACCTAGTACGCCCGATTTCCACTTTTTCGGAATTTTTCACTTTGCTAAAAACACGGGTATTTAAAAAACTTTATATTCCTCCATAAACTGCAATATGTCCTATTATGAAGAACGATCATAACTTTATTGCTGTAAGACTTTGGGGGCCGCAACTTGGGCTGCGTGTGAGTAACAGGGTGGTATCTGTATACTTAATAAAAGTCTGGACTGTCTCTGTTTGTGTCTCCGTTATCATTGTTGGATGGCAGCTATTTGTAAGTGGATCACGGAGCTTGGCCACACACACGCTGACAGAGAGATACCTCAATTACTATATAAAAATACATAGTGCTGTCATTTTAGAGTAAACTAAACCACTTGCAGATGCGTTTGTCTATTTCACGGTTAGATTATTGAAAAATTGATTTTTAAAATGTTTGTGAATCGTTTGCCTTATACAGTAGGTGGTGTAACTCACGAAATCCAAGGATTCGCCTTGGGCTTCCTTACATGTTGTTGTCCCTTATGTAGGTAAACCGTAT